CACTGTCATGTGATGATGATGGTGGCGATGATGGTGCAGCATCAGGCAGTCACCAGGCAACTGCACTTGCCATCACAATCGCCGGCTTCTCTGCCCTGTGAGATGGGAACTGTTGTTCTCCCATTCTACAGATGGGAAAACTGAGGCCTAAGAGGTAACCTGAGTTTCCCATGGCACACAGCCAGTGCGGGGCAGAGCTGGGGTTAGAGCTCAGATGAGAACACGGAGACCCCCCAGAACAAAGGCCTTTGCCCATGCCCGCCCTCAGGCTGGCTCCATCTGTCCGGGGTGCTGACCACCAGGAGGTCCTGGGGTTGGGAATTAACCAGGTTATGCCAGCAGGGTCAGTTCGGGAGAAAGGCGGCCAGGGGAGGGCAGCAACTGTGGGTAGAGGCCTGGCCAGGGGCTTTGTCTCAGGGGTGGGGCTCCAGGCAGGGGCCCAGGTGTATAGGACCCTCAGGGCTGTTTTGGTGTCAGGCAACAGAACAGCCTCATCCCGAGGGTCAGGGCCACGCATCTCTCCTGGAGTCCCCCCAGACCCCGCTCATCCCCTCTTCCTTCTTGCCCTGCACAGCCACTGTCAACAACAGCTCAGACACCGAGAGCATCCCCTCCCCTCGCACTGAGGCCGCCAAGGACACAGGGCAGAATGGGCCCCAGCCCCCAGCCACCCTGAGCACCGATGGGCCACCCCCGGAGCCACCCACCCCGCCGCCGGAGGACATCCCGGCCCCCACTGAGCCCACCCCCGCCTCTGAAGCCACCGGACCCCCTACGCCCCCACCAGCACCCCCATCGCCTTCTGTACCCCCTCCTGTGGTCCCCAAGGAGGAGAAGGAGGAGGAGGCCGCAGCGGTGCCCCCAGTGGAGGAGGGGGAGGAGCAGAAGCCCCCCGCGGCTGAGGAGCTGGCAGTGGACACAGGGAAGGCCGAGGAGCCCATCAAGAGCGAGTGCACGGAGCAAGCCGAGGAGGGGCCGGCCAAGGGCAAGGATGTGGAGGCCTCTGAGGCCACGGCTGAGGGAGCACTCAAGGCAGAGAAGAAGGAGGGCGGGAGCGGCAGGGCCACCACAGCCAAGGGCTCGGGCGCCCCCCAGGACAGCGACTCCAGTGCCACCTGCAGTGCAGATGAGGTGGATGAGCCTGAGGGCGGCGACAAGAACCGGTGAGTGGGCGCCAGGCAGCCCTAACCTTGGCTTTTGTCTGCAGACACTGAGCGGCGACTACCTACTTAGACAGCCGCACCCGGTGTGGCTCTGCCTGCTTTGGGGGAGCCTGAGGTGTGGTTAGGGAGGCAGACTCGGAGTAGAGTCCAGGAATGGGAGGGGGCAGAGGTGTGGCCGGGAGCATCTCCCCAGGAGGTGACATCCAAGCTGAGACCCAGACGGAGGAGGCAGCCCTGGGCAGCACTAGGGAGAGAGTGTGCCAGGCAGCCTGCTCACTTCCTAGGGCCGCCCTTACAAGGTAGCTCAAGCCAGGTGGCTTGAAACAAATACAGTCCTGGAGACCAGGAGCTCGGGGGCACCGTGAGGCCGGGCCACACCCTCTGAGCCTCTTGGCAGATCAATCCCGCCTCTTCCAGCTCCTGGCTGCTGCTGGCAGTCGTGGTTGCCAGCACACCACTCCGTCTTTGCCTCTGCCGTTGCATGACCTTTGCCCTGTGCATCTCTATGTCCACATTTTCTTCTTCTGAGGACAGCAGGCATTGGATGAGCAGCTGCCCTAATCTAGTCCAGCTTCATCTTAACTTGATTATATCAGCAAACAGCCTGTTTCCAAATAAGGTTACATTCACAGAGACCCTGGGTTGGGACTTGAACGTACCTTCTTTCGGGGGGACACAGTTCTACCCTCAACGTGGTGGGAACAGCAAGTGTGAAGGCCCGAGGTGGGAATGAGCTTGGTGGATTCAGGTGTCGAAGGGTGGAGCGAGTGGCTCAGGGAGGGGGGCAGCCTTGCAGAATGGGGAGCAGCTCTCACAGGGTTGGGGGCACTGAGCCGCACCCTGGCAGGTGAGGGCTGCATTTCTTCTCAGGGCAGTGAGAAGGCCTTTGCGAGCCTCTCCCAAGAGAGCCAGATGTGATTTACCCATGAAACCATGTGGGGGATTTGCTGGGAGTGAGAGGCACAGTCAGGAGGCAGCTGCAGGTACCCTGGGGCCGGGGATGGAGAGGCGAGTGTGGTGGCCATAGTGATGGGGAAAAACCACAGATTCAACATGTTTTTGGTGGTTCATCTCCTATCAGCCAAGGGTCCAGGGCTCGGGATCACAGGTGATCACCTTGG